AGGGAGTCTGCTTCTCCCTCTGACCCTCCCCCCTCTCATGTGCTCTCTCTCATTCTCTCTCAAATAAATAAATAAAATCTTAAAAAAAAAAAAAAGAAAAAGAAAATAGCCACAAATTTGTAAATAAATCATGACTATTACAATTAAAAAGTAGAATATGCATTGTATCAATCACTTCAGGCAACTCTTATGGCAAATACAAAACAAACTGTCATATATTAATAGGTCTTTAAAAAATTATCTGCAACAACAACCAAAAAAAAGAAATGAGCCAAGATCAATTATTGTGATTAGAATCACAATAAACCCTAATGAATTCAAATGTACTAATTTATGTCTGTTTGTACTCAATAAGTATATGATGTTTACTGAATAAAAAAGATTAAAACAAAAAAAATAGAAATTAAAAAAAATAATCTGCAAAATAAGACTGTTAAAGTTTGTTGATATATCTGAAGGAACTTTAAGCTCTAAAACTCTTTAATTCTATTAAATTTTTAAAACTTAATTGTTGGGATGCTTGGGTGGCTCGGTTAAGCGGTTGCCTTTGGCTCAGGTCATGATCCCAGGGTCTTGGGATCGAGTCCCGCTTTGGGCTCCTTGCTCAGCGGGGAGCCTGTTTCTCCCTCTGCCTGATGCTTCCCCTGCTTGTGCTCTCTCTCTGACAAATAGATAAATAAAATCTTAAAAAAAAAAAACTGAATGGCTAGTATATAATATTTACATACAAGATTATAATTCAGAGAACAGGAGAGAACAAAAAGGAGAAAGGTGGGACACTAAAAGACAGGCTATTTTTTTCTAGGTTTGCCTTAGAGCTGAAAAACTTAATTGTTAATGCAAATTTTATAACTAGGACAAAATTTTTTCCCTAAATAGAAACCATTCAAATTTGTTTTAATTGAAAAGGAAGAATTATTTTAATTATCCAATCATAGCTAAGAAGGTATTAAACTATTTTTTCCAGAAAAATTTTATGCACTTTGACACCTATCAGCCTTTCCAAATTGCCATACCATACCATTCATTCATTTATTAGTAGGCTCCATGCCCAGCATTCATTCAGTCATTCATTTATTGGCTACATGCCAGAGTGGAGCCCAACACGGGGCTTGAACTCACGACCTGAGAACAAGACCTGAATTGAAATCGAGTTGGTTGCTTAACAACTGAGCCACCCAGATGCTGAGGCAGATAAGAGACAAATAATTGATCATAACTAGGAGAGCTCTTAGTCAGAAATTAGAAAAAAAGAAAAAAATTGGCTCTTCAGTTTTATCTATTTTTAATAAGTGTTCGTAAGAATACGGAGAATTGGAACTCTCATATACTGCAGTGAAAATATAAAATGGTGCAGGTGCTTTGGAAAGAAGTCAGACAGTTCTTTAAAAGGTTAAACACAGAGCTACCATTTGACCCAGCAATTACACTCATAATACCCAAGAGAAATGAAAACATGTCTATACAAAAACTTGTACATAAATGTTCACAGCAGCCTTATTCATAATATCCCTAAGTAGAAACAATCCAAATATCTTTCAATTGACTGATGGATAAGTAAAACATGGTATATTCGTGCAGTGGAATATTATTTGGTCATAAAAATCAAGTACTGATACATGCTATAACATGGATGAACCCCAAAACAATATACAGTTGACTCTTGAGCAACACAGGT